GTAGAGAAGAGGACCATATTTGATGTGGAAACATCATGAGCTCAGTCTTAGCCATGTCAAGTTTATGGTGCCCTTGAGACATCAAAAGGGAGAAGTCCAATAAACATTTGGGCTTATGGAAAGATATATATGTGCATCTTTCCGTAGGGGATCATTAAACCCACAAGCATGAAAAATACTGCTTGGGAGATTCTCTTGAGTGAAAAGAGATATAAAAATCATGCCTTGAGAGATGCCATTTACAGGTTGGATGGAGGAGGAAGGGAGTCTGAAAAAAGAGACCAAGATAGAGAAGGGAAATTCAGGATACTGCTGTATGATAGAACACTTAGCTCAGAAAATGTTTGGCTCCAAGTAGCAGGGATCCAAAATAACAGTAGCTTTAACAAAGATAGATTTTTTTCTCTATCGCATAAAATACCAAAAAAGCATTGTACAGAGTTTGTCTGGCAGCTCAACAATCATCCGGGCTCTAATTCCTGGCATCTTCAGCATGTCACCTCAAGGTCCAAGATGGTGCTCATGCTCCAGCCATCACACTCACATTCCAGTCAGCAGGAAGGAGGGAGAGTAAAGAAGAGCCTGCTGATTGTTTTAAAATAATTCCTTTGTGTCTTAAACTTATGAGTAAGGAAAATAACGATTCAGGGTCATGTCCAAATCCTCACTGCTAATGTGAGATGAATTTTTGAGCAGGTAAAGATTGCCCCTAGGGTGACCTGCCTGCTTTGCAGGATGCCTGTGAGTCTCAGTCTTGCTGTACCCCTTATGTTTAAAAATAATAATAATTCCTTTAACTCCCAAACTGTTCTGTTTAGAGCTTATTAACCAGACTCAGTGCCATGGCCAAATGTAGCTGCAAGGGTGGTTGAGAAACAAGTCTGTCTTTCAGGCATGTAGCTAACTAATAAATGGTGTTTTATGGCGAAGAAAGAGAAGGGGAAGGGATACTGGAGGGCAATTTATCAATTCTGTTGCAGAAACCACAGGAAGAGGTTGTTTAAAGCAAGAGGATCAGGACCCGCCTGGGCAACTTGACAAGACCTCATCTCTACAATAAAAAGTCAAAATGAGCCGGGCTCGGTGGCTCAGCCTGTAATCCCGCACCTTTGGGAGGCTGAGGTGAGTGGATTGCCTGAGCCCGTGGGTTCGAGACCCACCTGGGCAGCGAGACCTCATCTCTACAATAAATCAAAAAATCAGCCGGGCGTGGTAGTGCATGCCTGTAATTCCGGCTACTCAGAAGGCTGAGGCGGAAGGATCGCCAGAGCCCAGCGGGTCGAGGCTGTGGTGGCTGGGAGTAGCTACTGCACTCCAGTCTGGGTGACAGAGTAAGACTCCAACTCAAAAAAAAATTAAAATTAAAATTAAAAATAAAACAAGAGGGGACCCGGATGGAAGCAAGATGGCGGGCTGGTGGTGAACCCCGGTCGAGGGATGTACATTGATATTCCTTGAAGTGGAACATAAGAGCGACTTCTCTTCAGAACATCTTTTTTCTCATCACCTGATCCACCATGGCCGGAGCAGCAGTAAAGTGGGTGATGGCAAAGAGGACTGTCTTAAAGCATTTATTTCCAACTCAAAATGGAGCTTTATATTGTGTTTGTCATAAGTCTACGTACTCTCCTCTACCAGATGACTATAATTGCAAAGTCGAGCTTGCACTGACGTCTGATGGCAGGACGATAGTGTGCTACCACCCTTCTGTGGACATTCCGTACGAACACACGAGACCTATCCCTCGACCTGATCCTGTGCATAATAATGAAGAGACACATGATCAAGTGCTGAAAGCCAGATTAGAGGAGAAAAGCGGACATCTTGAGCAGGGACCCATGATAGAGCAGCTGAGCAAGATGTTCTTCACCACCAAGCACCGCTGGTATCCACGGGGACAGTATCACAGACGTCGTATGAAACTGAACCCTCCAAAGGACAGATGATCCTGAGGGTCTTGGGAGTCACAACGAAGGCACCTACTTGCTGTTGAGAGAGTACAGCCTGGTGCATTCACTCATGTGGTATAGAATAAAGTAGTAACAATAAATGTCTTTCATGTATTCGAAAAAATAAAAAATAAAAAAAATAAAACAAGAGGAACTGTTTTCTGTCACTGAAGATTCATTTACCTTTCTAGAGTACAGCAGTCCCTCCCTAGTTGTGGTTTTGCTTCCTGCAATTTCAGTTACTCAAAGTCAAACGTGGTTCAAAAATATTAAATGGAAAATTCCAGAAATAAAAAATGTATAAGTTTAAAGTGTGTGCCATTCTGAGTAGTATGATGGAAACTCACACCATCCAGCTCCATCCCACCCAGCACATGAGTCCTCCCTTTTTTCAGTGTCTCCCCCACCCCTTAGTCTCTTTGGAGTTGGCTGGGTGATCAGCTCTATTGTCATAGTATCTCAGTACTTGTGTTCAAGTCACCCTTATTTGACTTCATAATGGCCCCAATTCAGGTAAGCCAAAGAGAAGTCATGAAGTGCTTCCTTTGAGTGAAAATATGAAAGTCCTTGACTTAAGGAAAGAAAAAAATCCTATGATGATGTTGCCGAGATCTGCAGAAGAAATGAATCTTCTAGCCATGAAATTGCAAAGAAGGAAAAAGAAATTTGTGCCAGTTTTGCCATTGTACCTCAAACTGCAGACATTATGGCCACAATGTGAGATACGTGCTTATTAAAGATAGGAAAAGTGGTAAATTTGGGGTAAAAGAGGTAAACAGAAAAGTGTTCCGGTAGTTGGCAATGTGCTGCACCAGATTAACTTAATCTTAACTAAATTTTACTTAGGTCTGTATGTAGGAAAAAACATAGTACATGTAGGGTTTGATCTTATCCATGGTTTCAGACATCCACTGAGAGCCTTGAAATGTATCCTGCAAAAGGATAGATAAAGGAGAGTTACTGTATGCAAATGGAATCAGAGCATAGGTACTCTCTTTCTTTTTTTTTCGAGTTGGAGTCTCACTCTGTCGCCCAGACTGGAGTGCAATGGCCTCTCCCGGTCACCGCAGCCTCGACCTGCTGGGCTCCAGCGATCCTTCCGCCTCAGCCTTCCAAGTAGCTGGAACTACAGGCGCGCGCTACCACCCCCGGCTAATTTTTTGAATTATTGTGGAGATGAGGTCTCACCAAGTTGCCCAGGCGGGTCTCAAACCCGCGGGCTCAGGCAATCCACTCACCTCGGCCTCCCAAAGTGCTAGGATTACAGGCTGAGCCACCGAGCCCGGCCCCCAGGTACTCTCTTTTTATCTTATTTCACTCAGAATAATTATTTTGCTATATACACATCATATGTCAACAATTTGTCCCTTTTTATTGCTGAGTAATATTTCCTAGTGTGGATATACTACAATTTGTTTATTCATTCACCTGTTAATGGAAAATCGGGCTGTTTTCAGTTTGGGGATATTATAAACAAGGTTGCTGTGAACATTTGCTCGTAAGTCTTTGTGTGGCATATTCTTTTATTTCTCTGGTAAATACTGTCAACAACAAAAAAATCCAGATTTCTTAAAAAGATACTTTATTCAAAAGGATTGTTATAGGGGTGCTGGGGGAGGAGTATTGCAAAGGGAAACGCTCTGACCCTACGATCTTGAAATGTCTCAGGAATTAGGCAAAGGTTTATCTGGTGCAGGGAGGAGTAAACTTTGCTAGAAAGAACTGTTATGGGGAAGTGGGATGAGCAGGAGTGTCATGATCAGACAATAGATCAAGTGTGTCTTCTCCTGTCATCAGCCTCTTCTCAGGAGGCACCCACAGAAGGGCTGTCTGCTGGCTCGAGCTGAGGGTGGGTCAAAGCTCAGGGGCCAAGAGGAAAGACTTTGAATCAAAGTTTGGTTAACAAGCATTTTCTTCCCATTGATCAGTGAGGACAAGCACTTCAGCTAATCAGCTGATGCAAAGAGTGGAAATTAAGAGGGTCAGTGTCTGGCCTGGTCGAGGGTAAACAAAGGAGCATCTGGAAGTCTTATCTAAATCATATGGAAAGTCACTGGTTCTTTCCCGTATGCTGTTTGCTGGAACCCAAAGGGTGGAAGGATTTCTTAACCTTCCCTATTTCTAGAAGCACAAGACTAAGGTAAAATTCAATATTGTCAATATCCAGGAAAGAAATGGCTAGATCATATGGTAGGCGTACGTTTAACTTTCTTTAAAAACTGCCAAATGTTTTCCAAAAGTGGTTGTACTATTTTATAATCCCACTAACAGTGTATGAGAGTTCCAGTTCTGCCACACTCTTGCCAATACTTGGAAAAATCAATCTGTTTGGCCATTCTAGTAAGTGTGCGATGGTGTCACATTGTGGTTGTAATTTCCATTTCCTCAATGATAATGATGTTGAGCATGTCTTAGTGTTCTAATTTTCGATCTGTATATCTTCTTTGGCGAAGGGTCTGTTCAAATCTTTTGTCCGGTAAAAAAATGAATTATTTGATTTTTATCTATTGACGTTTGAGAGTCCTTCATATATTCTAGGTCAGATCTTTTAACACATATATGCATTGCAAATATTTTCTTCCAGTCTGGAGCTCATATTTTCAGAAAGTCTTTGGGGCCTCTAGTCTCAGGTTTCCCCCATGAGTAAAACAGGTGCAATCATCCCTCCCCTCCTCAATGATATGTCAGAATCAGAAGACAAAAATCTTTGTCAACCAGCACGCTGTGACTCGTCTCCTCAACCACCTTTTTGCCCACCAATCAGAACGGTGCCTGGCCCAGAAGCAGGGCTCAGGCGGGAGTGAGGCGGGCGAGGTGACTAGGCCAAAGCTTCAGGTAGCGCTCGCTCGCAGGTTCGCGCAAGACCGGGTCGCCCCGCAGAGACGAGCGTCTCCTGAAAACTGGAGCCCGGGGCCTTAAGGATGAAGTCGACGAGGACCGCCCGGAGACAACCCGCACTCCCACGCTGGGCCCACCCCGCGAGGATCTGGCGCCCTGCGATTGGCTGTCTCCCTGTGACGTCACCACCACGCGCCCGCTTCTCTCCAGTCTTCTCCCCGAGCTGCGGTTCCCGGGTCTACCCGCGGTCACCGGTGCCCGCGGTCAGGCCCCCGCTGCCCTTGACCTCCGGCCCCGCGGGCCCTAACCCTAAGCGCAGGGCGCCCGGCAGGACCGGCCCCCGCGGCCAGGTAGGCTGGGTCTGGGTCAGGCCGAGAGGGTCTCTTTGACGCGGGGCCCCCGCAGAGGGCGGGACGGGACCCCAGCCCCCGGCCGCATCCGACCACACGGACGGGGTGGACACTAGGGAGCACCCACTGACTGCAGAGGACAGAGCAGGGCATATAGGGAAACTGAGACACCTAGGTTCCAGGCCAGCGGACGGCGGGGTGGACTCCCATATTCAAACCCACGGCTCGGGCCTGCGTTGCCTGTGCTGTTTCCACCTCATGTCACTGTCGCTTTGCTTAAGGACTCATGCAGAGTTGGACTGAACTCGGACTGTGCTGCGTAGTGGTTACTGTAGCGGCACCGGGGCCATTTTCTGACTGGTACGTTGGCACGTGACTTCAGCTTATTGAGCCTCAGTGCCCCCGTCTGTAAAATGGGGCGCCCACCTGAGGGAATTGTAAGGTTGGGATGAGCCTGCATGTGTCTGTCACGTGGAAAGGGCACAATCGGTGAGGTATGAAGCTATCTTGCAGAGCAGGTAACCAGCCTTGTCTCTGAGGCAAGTGCCAGGAAGCGCCCACAGTTTCCAAAGATATGGCCGAGACAGTTGGGGCCTCTGGAGCATCTCCTGTTGGAAGTCCCTACTTCTTACCACAGCTTTCTGGATTAAAGTGCCTTTGGTGAGGGGAGAGAGGGTTGAAGCTAAATTATCTTGTGTGCATAACAAGCTTCTGAACTGAGGCCTTAAGTGTCACCTGGAATTGGATTCAAATTCCGGTGCTTTCACCTCCTAACTCTATGACCCTGGAACTTTGGGCAAATCCCTTAACTTCTCTAAGCTTTAGTTTTTTCATCAGTGATGTGGGGCACACAGTATCTACTTTTTGCAGTTGTCAAGATAATTAAATCAGACCACTCAGCATAATACCTGGCATTCAGTGACTGTTCTTTTAGCATGCGGAGTGTCTGAGTGCACTTTGACTCGAACAGCCTTTTGACAGTGATATGGTTGGTGCTTTGTAAGACAGCAGGAGACTAAAAAAGCCTCTAATTTTCTGATCAGACTTGCAGGCCAGGTCAGTGGTGACCTAAATCTAATGAGTCTTCAGCTGAACTAGGTAGATTAAATCATCTGGGTGAGGACCAAGAGTCAGGCTCAGAGAGCTACCTCCATATTTTGTATCATAAAAGGCTATTTTTAAAAACAAGGAACCATGCAGAGGAGGGACTATGTGGTAAGGAATGGAGGCTAGACTTAGATTAAGAACAAAACAAGAAAATGGTGTTTGTTTTTAAGTGGATCTTGGACTCAATACAGGACCTGAGCCCTGTTGGTACTTTCTAGATGATTTGAGGAGAAAAGGTTGGCAAGCACTAAGCTTTCCCAAGTAGTGAAAAGTCAAGTTTCTGCTTCTGTGATTTGTTCATGCAACGAAGAGCAACCAAGAGCCTCCTGTGCACCAGGCACAGGGCTGGGCAGTAAAAGAGACAGACTTGGCCCCTGGGCTCAGGTAGGAGATGTCTGGGTAATGCAGGTCAGACCTAAGCCCTGGTGTTTGCAGCCTCTTCTCTTGGGCAGCCTATGTGCTAGCAGAAGAAACAAAGTAATTACTGTCCAAGAGGCAGGTGGGTTCTGCCTTGATCATGTGAGCTGTGAGCACTGAAAGCATTTTAAGTAGCAGAGTAACAGGATCAAATTAGCACTTTTAAAAGGGCTTGTGGGGGCCAGATGTTGTGGCACATGCCTTTAATCCCGGCACTTTGGGAGGCCAAGGTGGAACGATTGCTTGAACCCAGGAGTTCAAGACCAGCTTCAGCAACATAGCAAGACTGTGACTTCATAAAAAAATTAAAAATTTAGCCTGGTGTGATGGAATGCACCTGTAGTCCCAGCTGCTTGGGAGGCTGAGGCAGAAGGATCGCCTGAGCCCAGAAGGTCAAGACTGAGATGAGCTGTGATCATGCCACTGCACTCTGGCCTGGGAGACAGAGGGAGACCCTGACTCAAAAAACAAACAAACAAAAAAAGACTTATGGCTGCTGTGAAGCCAGTTTCACCAATGGTCACTTGCTGGGCTGCCACTAGCCAATCCCTAGTCCTGCTCATTTTGCCCAGCTCAGCTCCCATCACCTCCTCAAGACAAGGGCAGGGCCCTGATTATCTCTACAGCACTAGTCCTGAGAGCTGAATCTTATGTCAGTTGTTAGCATCTGTCTCCTCTGCAGGTAGGATGGTAGGGCTGAGTTTGTCTGACTTACATTGTTTCCTCCAGGCCCACAGCGTTCTAGGCAGTGTAAACTTTCAGAAAACACTGGTTGACGGTACACAAAATCCCTGGGGCTAGCTTAGTGTCTGACTTGAAGTAGTCACTCTTTAAATGTTTCACCTTATGAAGTATAGCAGGGTAAAATAACTTGCACATCTTGACCAGTTCCCATGTGATGTGCCAGGAACAGATGATGGGGAAAGGAACTTCGGCTCCTGCTTAAGGAACTTCCGAGATCCTGATGATGTTTCTGGGATCCTCTGCCCTTGGGTCCCACTTTTTTCTTTGTAGGTTCTGATGCGGGCCTTCGGTAGAAGGAGGTTGCTTACGGCTTTGCTGCAGGCTCAGACGTGGCCTTTTCAACCCTCCAGAGACATGAGGCTGGTGCAATTCCAGGCGTCCCACCTGGCAGGACCTCACCTGGGCTTGGAGACAGGGAATGGTGGAGGGGTTATTGACCTCAATGCTTTTGACCCCACGCTCCCCAAGACAATGTTGCAGTTCCTGGAGCAGGGAGAGGCCACCCTCTCAGTGGCAAGAAGGTAAATCAGTGGGTGGCATTACCCTGCAGCAGCTGCACTGGTTCCCCTCTCCCTCTTCCCACCCCATCTCTGTCCTGGGAAATAGCACCAAGTAGGTAGATCTTTGCAAGGGTGCAGGATAACCCACCCTTCCTTGTTCATCTGTTCTCTTAGAAAAGAACCTTAGAAATACAACAACATTCTCAATTTATGGTGAGGGAGACTGAAGTCTAGCCAGGGTAATTAACTGTCCCAAGGCCACACATTTGGTGTTGCTTCCTCTTACTGCCTTCCCTGGGTTTAAGTCCCTGTCTGCCTGACAGGTCTGGGTCCGGGGACCCTAAAAGGCATCTTAGGAAGCTGGAGAGTGATTTAGACTCCTAGAGAGGACTGCAGAGAGGTTTTCTCCAAGGGAGTTGCTGCAGGCTTTGCTGGTTTTGAGCTAGATTAGGTGAGGGTGTCGCTGTAGCCAGGATCCCTCTGGATCTAAGGGGTTGATGAACAATAAAACCACTTTAAAATGTCACTTTCATCTATTAAATTGGCAAAAATACAAGTGTTTCACAGGTCATGATATCATTGACGGTATGTTCCCATGCTGTCATATTCTCAAAAGATTGTAAACAACTTCCATGTCTCCCATTAGGGAATTGGGGATATCACTATGGTGCAGTAATATGCAGCCATAAGAAGAAAGAGGCCTGGCGCAGTGGCTCATGCCTGTAATGCCAGCACTTTGGGAGACCGAGGCAAGAGGATTGCCTGAGCTCAGGGGTTCAAGACCAACCTGAGCAACATGGCAAGACCTCATCTCTACAATAAATCAAAAAATTAGCCGGCCATGGTGGCGCACTTCTGTAGTTCCAGCTACTTGGAAGGCTGAGGCAGAAGGATCACCTGAGCCTAGCAGATTGAGACTGCAGTGGCCGTAAGCGTGCCACTGCACTCCAGCCTGGGTGACAGAGTGACACTCTGAGTGGAAAAGGAAAAAAAGAGGAAGCTCTCTAGTTACTGGTATGGCAAGATCTCCAGAATATGTTAAGTTACAAAAAAAGGTGCATATAATGTGCTATCATCATGTACCTTTTTCTAACACTGGTTAACTTTTCTCTCAAATTTGAATTTTTTGCATACAAAAGGAAGGGAAGAGAAGAGGGAACAGGGTGACTAGAAGGGATGAGAGAGAGAGCTTTCCATTTATTCCTATTTGTATCTCATGTGTTTATGAATTCTCTTACATGTACATGAACTACCTAAAGGGGAAAGGAAATCAACAGCAGTGTTCTGATATCAAAGGATGATCTCTGGGCTTGATTTTCATACTCATTCATACTTGATGGTTAAGATATCTAAAAAATATATTTTAAAAACCAGAACTGGGAGCTGCTGTAGGATCTCCCCAGTCTACTCCAGGATTGCTGACCTACTCCCAACCAGCTCCTTTTCTGCTCTGGTCTGTGCAGAGCCCTGGCTGCTCAGCTGCCAGTCCTGCCACGATCAGAGGTGACCTTCCTGGCACCAGTCACACGTCCAGACAAGGTGGTGTGTGTGGGCATGAATTATGCGGACCACTGCAAAGAACAGAACGTGCCAGTGCCCAAGGAGCCCATCATCTTCAGCAAGTTCGCCAGCTCCATTGTGGGACCCTATGATGAGATTGTCCTCCCACCCAAGAGCCAGGTTGGTGCCTCGCCACTGCCCTCCAGAGTCACTGAGGCCCATCACAAGGGCACTCGGAGCTCAGTATTCAGCCTCTGGGAACCACCGCTCGTTCACTAGTGCGTTAAACTATAGGGGATTAGATGTACAGTAACAACACTGACTTGGACAAAAAGAAATTAATTTACATGTTTTCCTGATTACAAAGGTAACACACCTTCATTGTAGAAAGTTAATAATATACAGATAAACATAAAAAGCTAAGTCACCCATATTTCTTTTGCCCAGGGCTTACAATATTATTATTTTGCTGTATAGCTTGCCAGTGTTTTTCTATACCTGTGTATGCTTATACTGTGCATATACTTCTTTTACTTAAGACTACAAGAACATTTTTCCATGCTATTAAATATTCTCCCTGACATATTTTAGGCTACTGTGTAATTTTCTCTGTACCAGTAGCCATAGCTTATTCACTAGTCTCTTATTGTTGGATACTTGTTTCTAGGTTTTGACTTCCATAAATAAATGTTGCAGCTAACAGCCTTGTATAGAAAGGACTTTGCACATCCATTAACACATGATTATTTCCTTTGAATGAACACTTAGGTTTTGAATGTTTGTGTCAAAGTATAGGCAGAGTTTTGAAAAATTCTGCCAAACTCACCATGTAAAAAATTGTAAAAACATTTTACACATCCACCAGCAGTGTTATGTATCCTTACTAACACTGGTTAACTTTTCTCTCAAATTTTAATTTTAGAAATGTTTTAGAAACTGTAGGAAAGTGACAGAATAGTACAATGAACACTCATATACTCTTCACCTAGTTTCATTGTTAATGTTTTGCCATATTTGCTTTCTGTCCCTCTCCGTTACCCACCCCACACATGCAGACACATACTTTTGGGGGTCACGTGGGATAAGGGAGAAAACCTTTGAAGGTAAGTTGCAGACATAAAGACAGTTATATATGCATCTTCTAAGAATAATGACAGTGACCTGAATGACCGTAATACCATTACCAATACTAAGAAAATCAGAATAATATCTAACATGAGGGGGGGCCCCCAAAACCCCAGAATTTATTTATTAAAAATTGTGTATTCTTACATGTTTAAACTTCAGTCACCTTCAAAGACTCTCCTTTTGATGCAATACACCCATCAAGATGCTTTTTCCATTGTTCAAAACAGCTTTTGCACTTGTCAGTTTTGATGTCTTTTAGTGCTTCTGCCATTTTTTATTTCACCTTTTCCACATTAGCAAACTGTTTCCCTTTGAGGACTTTTTTCATCCAGAGAAACACACACAAAAAACGTCAGGGTGAGATTGGGTGAATAGGGAGGGCGGGGTATGGGGGTATTGCCATTTTGATCAAAGACTGCTGAACACTCAGCACCGTGTGGGCAGGTGCATTGTCATGGTGGAAGAACCAGTCACCTGTTTGCCACAGCTCGGGATGTTTCTTCTGTAAAGTGTGATTCAACCTTCCCAAAACTTCCAGATAAAAACTTTCGTTGACCATTTGATCCAGAGGAACAAATTCCAGCTGTACTGCAAGGGGCTCACCCTTCAGAAGATAATTCCATGTTTTGGTGGTCCCCCTCGTATATAGTCCAGTCATCCCAATTCCTAATAATACTCCCAGTTGCTCTAAAGATGACTTTTAATTTTTTGTTTGTTGATCCAGGATCAGTCAAGGCCACACACTGTACTTAGTTATGTCTTTTTAGTGGCTTAAATCTAGAAAAGGGGTCCAGAGACTTTTCTTAAAGAGCCAGTTAGTAAATATTAGGCTTTGAGTGCTATTTAGTCTCTTGCAAAAGTTCACCTCCACTGTTGTAGTATGAAACTCCCAGGGATGATACATAATGAGTTAGCATATTGGAGTTCCAATAAGAAATTATTCATAAAAACAGGCAGTGAGCTGGCTAGAGTTTGCCATTCCCTTATCTCAAACAACCCCTCCCTCACCTTTTCTTGAAGAATGCAGTTATCGCATAGCATGTCCCACACCCTGGATTTGTCCAGTTGTTTCTTCATGACTAGATCTAGGTTGAGCATTTTTGTCAGGATATCTACACAGGAGATGTGCACTTTCTGTCGCATCCAAGTGGGAGGCTCCTGTCAGAGGGTGCCAGAGTCTGACCACTTTGTTTACTGATATTCACTAGATCTGTCCATTGTAAAGATATATTTCCACTGTTGTAATTAATAAGCAGTCTGTGGGTGGTAGTTTGAGACCACATGACTATCTTATTGCTCCCCAGTTTCTCATCCAGGGATCCTGTGGTCTTTCTTACCTGAACCCATTATTGCACTGGGGGTTAGAGAAAGATGACTTTCCCATTATACCTTCTATTTTCATTAGCTGGTATTCTTCTATGAAGAAGAACTGCCTCCTTCCCCTTTTTATCCCTGAACCTTCAGTATCACTGTGAATTCCTCAGTTTCTTTTTGTTTAACTTGTAATCTATCGTTTACATTCTTTTTGATACTCGGATTACCTCAGTGTGACCAGTGAGGAGCCTTCAAGTTGGTTTCCATCCCTATCCATTTGAACACTTCCTTGTTTTCTGGCCAAGACACTCCAGGCTCATCTTGTATTCTCTGTCTTGGATCTGGAATTAGCCATTTCCCCAAGGAACCTAGTTCTTTTTACTGAGGAGTAGTATTAGAGACCTGCATCTGTGTGTCAGGTGTCCTTATACCAACTCTGTTTGTTATCATTAGAAAGAGCAGCCAATTTGAAAGACTAAATTCTATCTATTTTAGTTGCATTTCGCTAATTATGGAAGAGGCTGGGCATTTTTCCATGAGAGACTGATCCATGTACATTTCCTCTTGTGAATTGCTTATCAAGCCCTCTGTCCACATTTATTTTGGGATGTCGATCTTTTTCGTACTACCATTCTAATTAGTTAATACATGAAAGCACTTTGAAACTTACAGATTGCTAGCCATTATTACTTGGTATTCATACTTTGTTGCAGGTATCCCAGGTGACTTTTAAACTCAATCCCCTAGACACTTGCTCTTCTACAGTCACAGTGGGGAACTGTGCCTGCATCCAGTGGTGCTACCTACCACTGCCCAAAATTTATGTTTGCGTCGTGCCTTTCCTGTCATTCACTTGGCTCTGGTTCCATGGGGATGCCTTAGGCCCGGGCCCTAAGGCACATTGTACATCTCCTCTGCACAAGAACAGGCCCCAGAGCCACCACAGCTCACTGCTCCTCTCCCACTCTACAGGAGGTGGACTGGGAGGTGGAGCTGGCCGTGGTCATTGGAAAGAAAGGCAAGCATGTCAAGGTGAGATGGAAAGGGTGGGCTCCCAGGCCAGGGAGCAGAGACTTCTGGTGATCTCACTCACCAATACAGGTGTGGTCGGTTGCCCTACCTGCTCCCTAATGCCTTGTCCTCATCTGCTTTGGCTAGCTGTAGCTACTAACACGGGATAAAGGCTTTAAGATCCTTTGTCAGGGGTTGGTATCACTCATGATCTAACCTCATGTATGACCAAACCCCCTGTTCCCGTAGGCCACAGACGCCATGGCTCATGTGGCCGGCTTCACTGTGGCTCATGATGTGAGTGCTCGTGACTGGCAAGTGAAACGCAATGGGAAGCAGTGGCTGCTGGGGAAAACCTTTGACACCTTCTGCCCTCTGGGCCCTGCCTTGGTGACCAAGGACAGTGTAGCAGGTAGGTCCCTGGTGGTTGCCACTCGTGCCTGCCCTTGACTGGATAAGCAGCGCTCCAGGGAGGAGGATTTGTGGGCACAGCTATAAGTAGTACCCACCCTCCCTAGCTGCCCTTTCGCTGGAGACTCCATAGCGGGCAAGTCTCTCAGCCTCTGCCATGAGTTCTGTGGGCTTCCTTCCTGAGCCACCTATAGGGAACACAATTGCAGAGGATGGAAAACTGCATTCATGAGGTGAATTACAGAGAACAACACTGAACTGATGGGTGGGTAAGGCTTCCTCTAGCTGCCACCATCTAGAAGTCTTTAGTCGGAGGGAAGCAAAACTGGCCCTTGTGGATCATGGAGAATGGCTGGCACAAGGCCCTAGGCAATTTCCACAGTAAGGGAGATGCGAGCACCGAGGGACCTCACCCAGCCACTGTGTAAACAGAACAGCACTAAATAAAAGCAAGACACAGGGAGAGCCTGGAGGGAGGCGGTAGCTCAGAGGGCATAGCACAGCCACTGGGGGAATGTCCACATAGATCAGCTACACTGGTGCACTGGGATGCTGAAGGTCCCAGTGCTTCACAGCACCCTATGCAGAGTCCTCAGTAAAGCTAGAGTGTTCCAGCTGCTCTATCTAAGGGGGCGTGTAGAACACAAAGACCACCACCAAAAAAGTGCTGGTTAGCCAGACACTCTTATGGGCAAGCCATCCCCTGCCAGCATCAGGCATATGAGGCTGCACTGTCCTTGCTGGTGCCATTACTGTTGTTTTGCAGATGCTGAGTCCTTTGTATATTTATTAGGTGTCAGCCTCTGCTGTAGACAGATGTCTTTTTTTTTTTGAGTTGGAGTCTTACTCCGTCGCCCAGACTGGAGTGCAGTGGCACACTCCCGGCCACCACATCCTCGATCTGCTGGGCTCTGGCGATCCTTCCGCCTCAGCCTTCCAAGTAGCTGGAACTACAGGCGCACCCTACCCTGCCCAGCTAATTTTTTTGATTTATTGTAGAGATGAGGTCTCGCCAAATTGCCTGGGCAGGTCTTGAATCCCTGGACTCAGGCAATCCACTCACCTCGGCCTCCCAAAGCACTGGGAAAGACAAAAACTCTAGCCATTTTTCTCTCCCCCTTCAGAGTCTAGATCATCCAAGTTACTACTTAACTCATCTAAGTGACTATTGCCTTGTGCTCTGCTGGATGATGAGGAGGAGGCCCAAAAAGGCCAATGACTATACCAAAAGTTATAGGATAGCACTGAGTCAGCATGGGCACAGACAAAGCCCTTATAACTCCGTATAGTTTTGTTTTGTTTTTTGTAAATATGGGGAAGGACTTGGGGGGGAAAAAGGCATAACCCTAAAGTTATCCCTTTTTTTTTTCCTTTCAGACCCACACAACTTAAAGATCTGCTGCCGAGTGAACGGGGAGGTGGTCCAGAGCAGCAACACCAACCAGATGGTGTTTAAGACAGAGGAGCTGATAGACTGGGTCTCCCAGTACGTGGGGTGGAAACTGTCCTGCTGCCCTGCCCCACCCATCCACACACTTGGAGGCTGAACTGAGTCCTCCATCCCTGGTAGTGGTCACCTCTGCCCCTGGTCTCATTGGGTCCTTTTACTTTGTCCCAGGTTCGTCACTCTTTACCCAGGGGATGTCATCCTGACTGGGACCCCACCAGGTGTTGGTGCATTCAGGAAACCTCCTGTCTTTCTCAAGGTAGGTTAGCTAAAAGGAAAGGAAGCAAGGTCCCAGAAGGCCTGGCAGGCATGGCCCAGACTTGAGAAATGCAGGCCTCTATCTACATGTGTCAGACTGGAGGGCTGACACCCTTGCAATGTGCTCTGTTGCAGAAGGGAGATGAAGTCCAGTGTGAGATTGAAGAACTGGGTGTCATCATCAACAGGGTGGTGTGATGGTTCCTGCACAGGCCCTGCATCTGCTCCCACTCAGCCTAGCCTATGAAAAGGCCCAAAGCTGGGCTCGGTGGCTCAGCCTGTAATCCCACGCCTTTGGGAGGCTGAGGTGAGTGGATTGCCTGAGCCCACAGGTTCGAGACCCGCCGGGGCAGCGAGACCTCATCTCTACAATCAGCCGGGCGTAGTAGCGCACGCCTGTAATTCCGGCTACTCGGAAGGCTGCGGTGGCTGGGAGCGGCCACTGCACTCCAGTCTGGGCAACCGAGTGAGACTCCAACTCAAAAAAAGGCCCAGTGCCAGGCATGGGCAGATGCCAGCCCCTGCGAGCTTCTCTTCTAGGTAGAAGGGAGAATGACAGAGCTTCCCTCAATAAATTTGTCAAGCCAAAGCAGCACCCTGGCTTCTGATACCGTTTGTCTTCTCTTAGGGTTTGTTTTGTGAGATGAGATGGGGCATTTTCACAGGTCTAGGGAAGAAGAGAGCAAAATATACACACATTCGTATAGTTTATCATACCAAAGGATGATGAAAGCAAGTGGCAGCAAGGGACAATCAAACCTCAGATTTTATTGTCCAGCTAAAAGGTTTGTAGCCTCTTCTCAGTCTTCAGCCTTTAGGACACCGCTGTGTTCTGGGGCTGAGAAGTCTCAGAACAGGCTTCACCCCACAGTTTTAGCTACAAATGAACTGCCGGATGAACTGTTCCAGCTTTTCCTGATTGTCTCGACTGGCAAAAGTAGGGGACAGGTGGAGCCTGGGGCCTGCAGGGCTGGGTGTCTGCTGCAGAACCTGGGGCGTGGAAATGGGCTGTGAGTGCCCTCACCAGAGGGACTGTGCCCACAGAGCCCAGCAGGCAAGCCTGTCCCCCAGAAATCTGCCTTGGGAACTCTGGCTTGGGAACTCTGGCTCCCTGTGCCTCAGTGTTTGAGTATAAATGCCGCCTCATTTCTCTCAGACCATCCCAGTGTCCCACTTGGGAGAAGGATAACCAGTGGCTTGGAAGACCAAGAGGGGCAAGAAAACCATCTGCCTTCACATCTATTCCTGGGAGGCACCAAATCCCAGGGTCTTAATGAAGCACCGTCAGGGCCAGCCCTGAGGTGGGAACACAGCTGGGTTTCCCTGAGCAGCTCCAGCAGGGGTTGGGAGCAGTTAGACAGGAAAATGGTGACGCCCCTCTTACCCCTAGGTCTCTGAAGGTCCAGATAGCACTGATGGCGAGATCTGGGTCCACACACTCTGGAGGGGAGGGAAGAGAGAGGTGAAGGCTCGAGGGAGGGAAGGTGGGGTGTCGCTGGACACAGGCTTCTTTTTGCCTCTTGTTTGAAGAAGGAACCCAGGGATAGGTTCAGACTGAACAGAAGACCCTCTACTAGGCAGTCCTCTCTCCTGAAGTTGGACTGTCACTGCCCAGCAGGGGGCAGCAGCCACTGGCAAACCCACCCTTGCCCTCAGGAACTGGGCTGAGCGCTTAGGACTCACCAAAGATCCCTTCCTCTTGGGCAGTAGACTGCAAGAACTGGAACAGCTGCTCTGTGTAGCCCAACTCTGTGGGACAGAGAAGACCTAGACCCAGGGCCCCACACAGAACCTGCCCTGAGACTGCCAGGGAAATGAGGGCCTCACCAGTGTCGGGCAGCTGGCCCTGGTGAAGGAAGGCGGCAGCCTGTGCAAAGGCCTTGAGCAGCGGGCTGAGTAGGCGGCAAAGGAAGAGGAAGAAATCCGGGCAGTGTGACTGCTGGCTAAGCTGTAGAAGACAGGCCAGGGTGAAGGCAGCTCCCTACTGCCTCCCTACCACCCCCCTCCTGGGGCAGCTTCTCCAACATACCCTGAAGTACCGGCCCTCTGCATCTTCAAAGTCATCACTGTCACTATCAGTGAAGTCACCGCTCGGCTTCCATAGCAGCTTTGCACTCAAACACCGTCGCCCTGTGTCGCAGGCCAACCGGAAGCTTGGGGCCTAGGGGCCGTGAGAGGCACTGGTCCCTGACAGGCTGGCCAGGGATCAGCCCTACACCCCAGACCAGGTACGTGCAGGTGAAACAGGTAAGAGTAGACCTAGGGAGCCCAAGGATGCCCAGGGCCACACAAGCCCACAGCACCTGCTGGGCCCATCTGCAGGGTGAGAGGAGTGAGATGGCCCCCTCAAGGGCCACAGCTCTGTGGGCAGGAATTGTGGGAGAAGGTATGCAGAGAACCTCAGAGGCACACACGTCCAGTCCTGTCTAGAGACACACAGGCCCAGGACATGCGGTCATATCCCAAGGCACAGAGTGTAGAGGAGTGACCCAGGCTTTCCTGCTGCTAGGCCGGGGCTGCCCACCCCCCACGGCACACACGGGGCAGAGGAGTACCCCGGGACAACTGACAGTGGGGGTGGAATGCTGGAGGAGGCCAGGCCCCGCATAGGGGCTTCGTCTCCAACTGCCCTGCCTACCTCCTCAGCAACCAGGAGCCCACACTGGATGAGACGGTCCAGCACCTCCTGACAGTAGCAGTAGGAAGACTGGCAAGGCTGGGGAGGAAGAAGCACCTGTTTGGCCTCAGGAGAGCAGGCACATGGGCAGGGGCCTGGCCAAAGACAGGGCAAGGCCAAACCTACCACCACAGGAGGCCACAGGGGTAGGGTTAGAACGGCAAGAATGGGCCGTTCCTACCATCAAGAGGGGAAGGCCTGGGACCAAGCAGGCTGTGGTGGGAGGCCTGACCTGCAGCAGCAGCAGGTCTTGTGGCAGCAGGTGCAGCAGCAGCAGGATCTGGTGGTACAGCTCATTCTGGCTCAGCAGCTCTATGCCCTGCAGCTCCCAGGGCCCCTCGGGTGACACTCTGCCTGCCAGCAACCCCCGCACAGCACAGGCTGGGGAAGGAAGGGACCAGCATGCGGCAGAAGTCATTCCCCTCACCCCTGCAAACACATCCCACCCACCCCATGCCCTGAGGACTCACCACCCACAGCCTCACTCAGGAAGGCGGGCAGCAGCTCAGCACTCAGGTGTGCCAGGCGCATTAGGCCTGGACCAGGTCGCGGCACCACCAGCAAGTCCCCCCAGTGGACGCGCAGGAGGACCACGTGTGCCCGCAGCAGGCTCAGCGTGTGCTGTACCAGGCCCCGCAGCTGGCCAGAGAAGCCCACGTCAAAACTACGCAGCAGTATCTCCTCTGTCAGCCAGGAGAACTCCCCCAGGAGCTGCGACAGGAAAACTCCCTGGTGGGGGCAGAACAAGGCTGAGCAAGAGGGCCGGACTCCCTCGTCCATGCCCCACCACACTGTGCCTACCTTCCGGTGTTTGAACAGCAGCAGCGTCGCCATGATGGCTGTGCTCATCACTGAAGAGCTCGCCACACTGGCTGGGATGAGGAGTGGGGAGATGCTGGTCAGTGCTCCAAGCTCAGCAGCCTGGTCGCTCCATCATATGGCATGTCTTCCCAGCCACACAGCTCCAGCTCCACCCCAGGGAGGGGGAAAGACCCGGAGCAGTGGCCTTTGTCACATGTGTGTGGAAGCCAGGCCAAGAGCTTGGGCACCTTCCCTGGATCTCATAAGGGCCCACCCACCAACCCACAGCCTCTACCACAAGAGAGGCACTGAAGAAGATACTCAGAATTCTGAAGAGCCCTCTGCACAGGCACTGTGGTAAGCCCCTTACACACATCATTCCATTCAGTTAACATCAACCCCATTGGCAGCTAAGGATTCAGCTCAGAAGATGAGGCTGGCTGTGACCTTGGGCAAGTGGCTGAGCCTCCTCAGCTCAGGCAGCCCTCTCTGTGCACTTAGCTGCTCCCTCAAGACTGGCTGTCCCCCTGGGGGTAGGAGGGTCCACTCTTCTTCAGACCCAAGTGTGCCACAGAGGGCGGCTAAGGTGCAGACACTCACTTGGAAAGGAGGGCTGACACAGAAGGAAGGGAAAGCTCAGGGACCCTCCCCCAAAGACCCACATCTAGTTCACCCTCACCACTCAGGACGTGACGGCTCAGTCTCCTGACCAGAAGCTGATCCTCTTCCTTGAGGTCCAGGAGAAGGCCAGTTATGGGGGTCCACTCCTGCTCCTTCTCAGTGTCTGGAACAGCAGTACTGAAAGACACACAGATCACAGGATGAAGGGACCAAAACTAAAAACAGATGTGGGAAGCCTATGGCTTTCTCAAAGGTGAAGGTGTTTTCCCCATCCCAGCCCCAGAACAAGGATAGCTCATGTAACCACAGCATCCTCCAGGCCTCTTTGCCACATTCCACACTCAGGCTATTGGCAAGACGAGTGCCTGGTACTTTTTAGATAATCCAAGGATATTTGGTGAGGGAATGCTGCTGATGTTTGTGTCTATGGAGGAAGGGCACCAGCTACACAAGCTGGTGCCAAAGGGTTCTCTGACTTGTCCCTGAGATCGCATGCCCCTACCATTGGCCCAGCACAATGGGCTGCAGCAACTGCTCCAGGGTCTGCCTGTTGTCCCAGCAGCTTCTTGCATTGATGATATATTCCTGCCCAAAACAAGGCTCTTAGGTGGCCTGCTCTGACCCACCAAGAAACTTGCACACAGTCCACCAGAGGTAGACAAGGCTATTCCTGCAGTGGCTTTGAGGGTGAGGCTGCCAGAAGCCCCATGACAGACCCTCAGACACTCTCAGCCTTGCTCAGCTAGTTCCGTACCTGCAGGGAGAAGGGCTGAGCTAGGAGCACTCGGGCACAGATGCGGCGGTTGCAGCCCCAGCAGCTGTGCAGGTTCCGCAGGACAGCTAGAGCTCCTGTCCACAGCCCCAGGGGGACAGAGGCCTACAAGGAGGGAAAAGCTAAATGCGCTGACTTGCCAGGGGCGTTGCTCTCTGGCACACACCAGGGCTAACCACCCCATCCTGTTCTCCAGAGGTACCCTCTGATCCCAGCCTGCTCAACTTTATCTCAGGCCCAATCTGATGCATGACCCTGCCCTCGCCAAACTCTTATTTTCTTACCCAGGAAACAGGAAAAATCCCTCCCTAGCAGGGGCTTCTGAAGATGAAATGAGATGACAATGGTAATGGCCTTGGTAGGGGCTGCAGAATGACTGTAGGGAGAATTCCCTAAGGGGGACTCAGCCACAGAACACAATATTGTGCCTCCTGTCTAGAGCTGGTGTCCACCTGGGGTCCCAAGGGGCAGAGGCTCTCACATGGTGTCTGTCACATGGTGCATCAGGAACCAGGTCATAGGTGACGGCCACTGGCACCAGCATGGCATCCGGGACAATACCCATTTGAACCGCCTGCACCACCAGTCCCAGCCAGGCCTGGCCCAGTGCTGATAGCCGTGGCCCTGAGGCCCCAGGGAGTTCCTCCAGAAAGATGAGCAGGGGCTGCCCACTGACCAGCAGCTGCTCCATGACCTGGAATGGTAGGGGGTGGGAACAGGTATCAAGGTCAGAGCAGAAACAGACCCCTGTACCCTTGGCCTGGCCCCATACGTAACTACAGGGAGCACTCACCGCATGGACCACAGCCCTTGCAAGAACCCCCTCAGAGCTGTCCAGGGAGAGGTTTGCCTCTGGGGGTAGAAAAAGCCCCCCAAGCTTCCTCAGCAGAACTCTGTGAGACACAGGGCAGAGCCTGGTAAGAGAAGGGGCTCTGGAGATGAGACTAAGCAAGGGGCTAGTGAGAGTCTTGGCTCTGTCCTGTCTGAACACCCTAAAGTCAACCATGGCCCTGGCACCTGTGGCTGATCCTCTCCCTGCGCCTCACAGACTGGCCTGGTGTATGTCCCGGAGCAGAGAGGTCAGGAAGAAGGCCTTTGGGGAGCTACTGCCAGCACATCCCCATACACACCCCTGCCCCAGCTGGGACTTCTCCCATGCATATCTAGGAGCACAAGGCTTTTACCTGAGGGCAGGGGAGCAGGTGCGGGGTTCCCAAGCCACACGGAGCACACCAAGGCCCTGGGAGAGCAGCACAAAGGGCAGGAGGATCCCATCCAGAAGAGACTTGTGAGTAGAGAGGAGGACAAGTGGCCAGCCCTGCTCAGGGGAGAGTCAGAGGAAAGTGCCAACCTGCCCCTACTGAAGACACAGGAAGCCGAAGACCCAGGGCAGCCCCGAAGGGAAGAAGGGAGGGAGGGTTCAGCTGAAAAGTTCTTCCTCTGAGCACATTTCCCAAAAGTAAAGGAGCCTTTTGACGGCTTTTAAGGTAACATCCATTGACGTAATGGTTGTTAAGACCATGATGAAAAGATGTTAGAGGAAGCCCCGTGGGAGCAGGACCGTGAGACATAAAGAGAAGGTCAGCAAAGAGCAGTGGATTTTTTTCCCACCAGCTGATGGTGCTGATCCCAACTCAGGACTTGGCCCAGTCTCTGCTCCCGCCATCCCCATCCCAATGGAGGGCAGGCCTTACCGCCTGGGTGGCCTTGTGGACCATCTTCATCTGACCCTTGTGGAGCTGCACATTCAGAAAGAGGCAGTTCAGGAACCGCAGCAGCACCCAGCTGAACAGCCTGGGGAGCAACCGTGGCCTGAGGTGCAGCAGGGGGCAAGGCTCAGCCCCACAGCAGCTTGGAGGGTCACCTAGTGCTCCTCTAAGGCAAGCACTGCCACTGTCCTCATTTTCAGAAGAGGAGAGTGAGGCTTAGGGAGCTATAAGACCATAGAGACTGCTAAGAACTGGGGGTGCTGGGACTGGAAGGGGGCCTGACACCAGAGCCCACGTCTGGGAGTCTCATGGTACAGCTGCCTCACATCCAATTCAGAGTATCTGCCTCCATTTATCCCAAAGGGGACTAGAGGACTAGGCCTCTCTCCAGGCAGAGCCCCAGTCTGCTCTTTGCCAACTGCCAGGAAAGGGGAATAAAAGGAAGGATCCGTGATACAAGAAGGGAAGGAGCAAAGTCCCTGGCAGGCAGAGGGATTGTCCAGAGGCCCAACAGGGGGACCAGCTTTAATTGGAGACATATTTGTATATGCAGGTAGCGAGGAGAGGTGATGGACAAGCAGCAAATTCCCATCTGATAGCTTCTATTTCCTGTGAAATGAGTCTGAGGAGCAGCCAGGCTGGGAAACCTGGAGAGTGCCAAGTGCCCTTTGACATCTGCACTTACAAAGGAAACCAGTCCACTGGTGTGTGTTTCTCTAGCACTGTTTGGATACTCAGGTGCACAAAGAAGGCAGGCAGCCAGGGTCGTGCCCAGGGACTCCTTCACAAGCGCATTATTATCACAATGAGTCCTGAAATCTAAGCTAAGCCAGGAGGGAAGAAAAAGTGGGGGTGGGGGTGGCTTGCATGAAGGTGGGCAGGTCAAAGTCAAGGAAGTGTCACAGTGGAGAGCCGGTCAAGGTCACCCACAACCTGTTTCCTGTCCTTGCTCAGTTGACCTCTCAGCACTTTCAACACAGCTGAGCCTGACACTGACAGCCCTAAGCCCTCCATCCCTCAGTGAGGCATTCATCCCTTTGGCTCTAAACACCATCTGTCTGCTAAAGCTGTGTGAAATGCCCCTGGTCCCAACCTCTCTTCTGAACTCCAAACTCATATATGCAACTGCCTCCTCAGTGTCTCCACATGTCAGGTGCCAAACTCTTGTGTCCACAACATCCTTCCTGGGCCAATTCGTTTCTCCCCAAGCCTGTCCCCCTCTGAACATACCACCAAGCAGTAGGCTAGAAACGGAAGTCTCCTATGACTTCTTTTCCCCTCACTGTCCCCACCTCCACCGTCCAATCCATTGGTAAGTCTTGTTACTATCACTTTGATTTTTCAATCTGCTTTTTCCAAGCTCTAATGCCCACCATGTCTCACCTGGACTAACAAAACAATCTTCCAGATGGTCTTCTAGTCTCTTCTCTTGACCCCAATTCATCATATTGTCACTCCCTACTGAAAATCTTTCAAGTGGTTTTCACTGCACTTAGAGCTCCAGTCCAAACTTCTTGCAAGGCCCTGCATGATCTGGTCCCTTCTGCCTCTCAATTTCACTGATCATGCCTCCCTTCCCCTCACTTGCCAGCTGCCAACCACATAAGCGTCTTGAGCAAAGCCAACCCTTCCCTGCTCGGGGCGGTAGCTCATGCTATTCCTCTAGCAAGACTATGCCACCCCCCGCCCATTCCCATTATTGAACCCCCAAGGGTGGCTTCTTTTTCCCCTTATGACTCTGAGTTACAAATCTCTTCCTCCCTCTCCAGATAATCCGTCTCAGCCCTTGTTCCTTCCTTCTTGCAGACGTGTGTATCTCAGTTCACCCCACCATTCCCCTGGAACAGTGTCCTGCATCTAACAGGAGCTCAGTCCTGTGCTGGAAGAATGTAGGGAAGGAAGGCATGAGGTGAAGGAAAGCTGCAGCCCACTCTGGTAAACACCATCCAGCTCCTAGGAGGGGATTCCAGTCCTTCCGCAAGCCCAGCCAATATCCACTCTCCAGAAGGACAGAGCCCCAGCCTGAGGTAAGTGTCCCTTAGCATAGTTACCTGAGCAGGAGGGGGCGGGGTGGGGCCTGGATGTGGCCCAGGATGCGCTGCACCTCTTTCTTCACAAGGTTGTGTGCCTGGCCTTCCCCAGCCCCTCCTGGAGCTCTCCCTGAGAGGACATTCTGCACCCTGTGGGGGTGGGAATGATGTCAGACTGGAACAGGCCTGAGGTCTCTCAGGTCTCCTCCCCAAGGCACAGCCTCCAGTCTTCAACCTCCTTAAGGAAGGGTCCCAGGTAAAGCTAATGCTCTAGAAGTCTTGCCCCAGCAAGCCTTCTCAACTGTCCCTGCCTGGAGCTTTTGTCATCTCTTTCAAGATTCCAGAAATGCCAGCCAGACGCCAACCCCAGCCTCCTCACCTAGAGTTTTCGATGATCTTCTGTGGGGCATCCCTGCAGGGAGGTATGTGCTGTTCCAGGGACCACAGGAAATAGCAGAGTCTCCGAACCAGCCAGCCCCGAAACCTGGGCACAGTCCCCAGAGCAAGAGGAAAGGTGGTTCAGAGAGGGCCTGCCCCCAACTAGGGCCCATAGAGGGCTATTTGATCAAGAAGGGATCACATCTCAGTCCCATGTCCTGGGAACACCTGAGCAGGAAGAGGAACTACCTACCCATCTCTACCTCATTCCTATCCCTCTCCCCACTGAGTCAGGTACAAGTTCAGGGCCTGACACACCATGAGCAATCCATACATGCTCACAGAAGGAACCGCCAGGAGAGCTCCAAGCCTGCCTCTCCTCATGGGCGTGGTTATGAAGCAGAGGACAGAGGCCCTTCTTTCTCCATAGGAGGAAAAAAAATGGAACCGCAAAGCAAGGCCCCATCAGCCCTCACCCAAGGGGCCCAGCCTACCTGGTGTTCTCCTCCTTCACCAGGATCACATTGCAAAAGCCCAGATCCATAATGCTTCTGTGGAAGACAGACTCCTGCCAGAGAGAGGACAGAACAACATGTCCTGGGGGGCCTTTGCAAACTGGCAAAGAAAAGGCCCTGCTTTGCCCCTCTGGTCTCTGCCTGATAGCCTAGTGAGTTTTCTAGGAGAATTACAGCACAGAATTTCCCAAAAGATGTTTGACCACAGATCCTGATGCCAGGTCATGAAAAAGGGCTCCCTGCTCAAAATGGAATTGCTGTACCCTGTACAGAATCGCCCTCTTTGAGAGAAGCATATTACAGTCTCTAAGAAGTTATCTCCTCAACAGCAGAGAACATATTGCCTGGATCACCATCAGAAATCTGGGCCCCCTAAGCACTAGCACATGGCATGGACAAAAAGAGGTCTTCAAGCACGTGCTGAGTGCTGGGGAAGTCTGAGTAGGCGGTGTCCCCAAAACTGAACAGGACTCACAGGCACAGTTAGAGTCCAGCCCTCTGTGGATACTTCACTGCTATGCAGGTCCCTCTGCACCTCCCCCACCCAATTCTCCCAGGCCTAGGGGCAAGTCACAGTCCAAGATATCCAGTACCATCACGCTCATTCCTCCAAAGACAACAGCAGAGGCACAGGGCAGGTAAGGGCTACGCTTGGAAGGACATAAAGGAAGCAGCTGCCCAGAGCCATGGCTGCCAGAACCTCAGGTGGGTCCTGGCCCTACCATCACTCACCCAGCTCTTAGGGGTACAGGTCTGGCAGCAGCGACCCACAAAGGGGCGATACTTCCCCAGAAATGGGGTGACCACCTCCAGCTTCATCCCAATGCCTGAAGACCACAGACGAGTCTGCGAAAGGGCATCATGGAGAGGTGAGAGGACTCAAAGTCCTTGGGAGAGGGAGGGAGGAAAGGTGGGGGACCATAGGAGCAAGGGGCACAGGAAGGGGTGTGGAGAGCAGAGAATGCTCTAGGAGTGGGAGGAGCCACACTACCTCCCGGCCATCGTGGCTGCTCCTCAGCTGGGTTTGGGGTCTATCTTCCAACATGGTAGCCATGACAGCCTATAAGATCTGGGAACCAGCCACCTCTGCTGCTCTCCCTCTCTCCACAGGAACCTGAACTAAGGAAAGTTGGAAAGATGGAGCCACACAGAGTCTGAGTCATAACCTAGGAGTTTTGGGGGTGACCCCAATCCCCCACTCCCATGACAGACAGATACCACTCAGGCCAGCAGTGGTGAGGAGAATCTAGTTCGGAAGCTAGGTGCTAGCTCAGATCAAAGCCCTGCCCACCAACCGGTCCCACCAAGGAGCCAGCTGTCTTCAAAAAGTCTCATAGGGTCCAACATGAAGGGGATTGGTTCTCTTGCCATCAACACCCATCCTGCCATCTCCCAGCACAGAGAGAGGCTGTACTGGAGACACAGATCCCTTCTGTGCAGAGGAAAAGAACAAGGGTTGAATTAGCAGGAAGGCGTAAGACTGCAAAGGAAGAACAGGACCTTCGCCATGAGGCCCTCAGGTCCTACCCAGCTGCTCCCCCCCGCCCCCCCTCACCAGAAGACAACCCTTTATCCACCCAATCACTACAGAAATGTGGGCTAGCTACTAGAAGAGGGACAGCTGGGGGTCAGAACACAGAGAAAAGCCACACAGACCTATTTGTAAGTAATGTGCATCCAGTTGGGAACAAGACAGATTTTTCCACAATTGATCCCCTCTCATATAGCATTCTCCATAGAAGACAATACTTGGCATCTTCTTAGCCTCCTCCTTCCCACCACAATATTCCTCTGAACTAACAAATATCTATGTTCCATTAAACAGCATTGAACCCCTCCTGGCCAAAAAAAATGGGCCCTAAAAATCTCTACTCTGATTTCTTACCATGTCCCCTATGAGTCGGCTGGCCTAATTATTTATGTTTTCCCCTTACCACATTGTGCACATGACCACCTGGGAGTGCCTTTTCCTTTCCCAGCCCCCCACCCACCAAATTCTGCATTTGGCTCTAAGTCTGTGATGCCTCTGGAACATTCTTTAGGTTCTCCCTCTCCTCCTTGGGTTCCCCCAGTTCAAGCTCGCTGGGTAAGAAGCTATGTGATATCCCCCTCCAGGGTTAAGGTTTTACCTCCCCACATCATCGGAAAGTGTCCTGATGTCAATGGCTACAACTGACTAATCACTGTATGTCCAGCAGCTCTCCCTGCCTGGAACAGGGACCCAGGAAGAGCTACATGACTGGTTGTAACTTCCCCTTCAAGAATTCCTCAGGTTCTCTCCTCCTTTCCCCACTTAAATCAGGTTAGAACCACGAGGCCAAAGCAGTAACAGGATCACAGTTCCTGAAGTACACACTCTCTGGGGGACTCATCCCAAAGGTGCTCCCTATTTTGAAAATGTTCTCACAGCCCCATTCATAGACATATGGCACAGGTAGGCCACAAACCAAGGTCTTTGGCCTGTGGGGAGTCCTGCCTACTTTGCAAAAAGGATGCCTGCCACCCGCAGCCTCAGATGACCCTCAATCCCCAAATTCACCCCACTAGAACTGTGCTAGCTCTAAAGGGAAAGAGTAAAAGACAGGGCAAGGGGTAACTCCCAACTGCCAATTCACTACTCAGCTCACACAATCCAGAGGTCAGTTCCGGGATTCCTCTTTCTAGCACTCAAGTCCCCCAAACAGTGACCTCTGTCAGTCTGTAGCTCATGCCTTGATGCCCCCTCCCCACACGAAACCTACAGAAAGGTTTCGAACTGGCATCCCAGGGACCAAATTCAAGCATCCCAGGGGCCAAATTCAATTCAAATATACACTTTCTTTGGCTATGCGATGTGCTAAAACATCACTAAATAAAGCCAACATTTAAAACTACAGAGTGTGTTTTTTATATATATATATATATTTTTTTTTTTTTTTTTTTTTAAATCAAAGTTTTCAGCTGATGTTAGAACAAAAAAATCTGAGATCTAGCACCTCTGAGGATATACCCCACAGGGCTTAGGTTGGCTGGAGGCCAGCGGCCACGGTCGCTGCAGCCCAGCAGCATGAGCCCTCCCGTTGCCACACCGATTTTTTTTTTTTTTTTTTTGAGCTGGGGTCTCACTCCGTCGCCCAGGACGGAAAGCAGTGGCACGCTCACGGCCACCCCAGCGTCAACCTGCTGGGCTCCAGCGATTCTTCCTCCTCAGCCCTCCAAGGAGCCGGAACTACAAGGCGCGAGCTACCAGGCCCGGCTAATTGCCACACTGATTATACCTGACACCTGACCCCTGTGCACATCTGAGTGTGCAGCCTTTGAGCAAAGGATAAAAATCTAAACGCATTCCCCTGTTTGAAATGGTTGCGCCCTACCAAAAAAAAAAACACGAGAAAACTTAACTTTAAAGGCTCGGCTTTAACATTGACGTCCTCACCCCACACCTCACCACCCGGGGTTCCATCAGAACTCGGGTCCCACAGCGGTGTTCCCTGAGCTACCCCAAGATAATGAAAAGGCGCCTGCCACACGTCCGTCCTGGACGCCCCCCTCTGAGTCGGGGGTAACAGGAGGCCAAGGACGATGCAGAGTGCTGCTTCTCCCCTTCAAACCATGGGTCCCCCAGAGGGACTCATCTGCGTCAACAGGCCCCACACCATCAGCACTCCGTCCCGTGCAACTCCTGCCGGTCCCCAAAAGGCCGCCGGATCCGGCTCTGGAAACACGAAAGTCCCTGGATGATCCCGGGCCTGGTCCGGCCTGGCCCAGCTGGGGATCAGCCACCGCAGGTCTCACCTCACACCAGCCCCCAACTCCCGCCAAAGCAGCGCCTCAGCGAGGCCGCCGGAAGACACGACTGGCGGCCTCACGTGACGGCCCAAAAGCAGCCCTGAGAGCCAATTGGGGCGCGCGCTGGGTCCGAAGCCCCTCCCCCGGGGCGTCCCGCCCTCCGTCACGCCACCACGTAGTCCCTGCCTCGCTCGACGTGACCACGTGGCCCGTTCTGGGCGGGGCCCCACACTGCTCAGGTGGGCCTTGCGCAAGCGTGGAGACCCTGGCGGTACTCGCGAGCCCCAGGGTGCCTGAAGCCTGCACGGAGTTTCGTGGAGAGCCAGTTTTTAACGAAATCATATGCACTCCGCCTAGGTGACGTCCATGTTCCAGCAAAATTCTGAACTGGGGACGATTCTAAAAGAGAAGAGCACCAAGAGCCAGCTTTGGGTCATGAGAAACAAGTCAGGCCTCCCCAGTGTCACTTTCCTTTGTTAATATGGACGCAGTCAGGGACCTGCTGCAGCCACAGGTGCCTTGGTTTCAGCTGAGCCCATGACCAGTATGTTCGTTCAGGTATTTTGTTAATACCTGACTCCTGGCTCAGCCCTAAGCCCCGTAAGAACAAAGACCTTAAGGGTTCGTTCATCTTTTGTCTGTGTTCCCAGCACCCAGCAAGTGGCTAGCAAGTCGTAGGCAAAAATATATAGAATAAATGGATGAGGGGATGACTGTGCTTTGTTCCTGTACTGTCCCCCATGGGACACCTGACATGCTAGAGGATGCCCAATGGGCCCACCTGACATGCTAGAGGATTCCTAGCTTCAGAACATGTGGCGCTGCGGGACCCAAGAGAACAGAAAACGGGCTCACGTCCCTCCCTCCTCTCTGACTCACCATCCCACCTGCCCCTCCATCTCTCTCCCTTCGTTGTATTATTTTGTGTCTACCCAGGCTGTGTGTATGCATCCACTCAATTTAAACTAGGTTTGCGATGTCCTTCCAATACCTGCAGAATCCATTTTGTGACCCATCTTACATTTCCTTTATATCAGGGGGCCCTGATCACAATGAGACCCTGGGATTCTGAAGCTAAAACATGAAATATATATACCGTTATTTAGAAGTTGTAAGTTGCCTCCTAGGAGTGCAGACTTGGATTTACCTGAGGGCTAACGCCCCTTAGTCCTGGGATCACCATCATTTGCAGTTGTGAACAGTCTCATCTCCTAGGGAGATCTAATGCTGAGAAGTAGCCCCAAGGCAAAGGCTTTGGACTGGAAAGTTGCGTGGATTGTGACACTGCAGAGACCAGACCTGTTATCTAGCAGAGTTCTGTCCTCAGAGGTGTTGCTTCTTTGGGAGAAATGTGTTTTGCTGAGGTGGGGTTTGTTTTTGTTTTTGTTTTTTGCTTTTTTGTTTTTTGTTTTACAGCAACTTGGACATTTAAAAAGAATCATTACCTCTTAGACCTGGATCTTAGTTGGGGTACCAAGGACTCAGTGTGTTCTCCTTCAAACAGTTTGCAGAAGATGTAGCAAGACCTACAGGCCAGCTGTCATGCAGACTAATTGTGACTTATCTGACCCTGAGAGAAACAGAAATCAATTTGTGCTTGGCCTCACCCAACCTGGACAGGACTTTGAGAGTTCCACCCTGGGCTCAGGCCAGAATGTGTTACCCAGAATGTCCTGACACATGTATCTAATGCCCTGTGCTTGTTGTTGGGGACAGATGTTCCCTAGATGTAATGGCAGACCTTCCTGCTGTACATCATCTGGAGAAAAGGACTTGGGCTGGCATTAGACTGGACAGAGGGGTTCTTGCCCCTCTCTCTGGAGATCACCAGAGGGCCTCGGGAAATGGAGATGTATGGTTAATTTTAGGTGTCAGTTTGACTGAGCTAAAGGATACCTAGATAGCTGGTAAAGTATTATTTATGGTGTTTCTGTAGGGGTGTTTCAGGAGGAGATTGGCATTTGAATCAGTGGCCTAAGTAAGGAAGAATCACCTTCACCCAATGTGAGCAGGCACCATTTAATTGACTGAGGGCCAACAGAACAAAAAGAAAAAGGAAAGAATTTACTCTTTCTTCCCTCTCTTCTGGAGCTGGGACACCCATCTTCTCTCCTTCCTTTGGACATAAGGATTCCAGGTTCTTCCAGCTTTGGACTCTAGGACTTGTTCTGGTAGTACCCCCATACCCAGGTTCTCAGGCTTTCAAACTTGAACTGAGCTACACCAGCTTCCTTGGTTCTGTAGCTTGCAGAAGGCATATGGTAGACCTTTTCAGCTTCCATAATCACATGTGCCAGTTCTCATAATAAAACCCCTCTCATCTATCAGTCCATCTGTCACCTACTTATCTTGTTGGTTCTGTTTCTCTGGAGAACTCTGACTGATGAAGGAAACATGCTGAAGGGTCTCTTTCTGAAACACCCTCCTCCCTTCCAGGCCCAGGAGCTCTGAGCACAGCCGCCATAAAGGTAACCATTGGTTGTGCTGTATGTTGTTGAACCCTTCCATTACTCCATAACCTTCCATAAAATCTTGTCAAGCATTGCAGCAAACCATAGCAAAAAATGGAGAAGTAGAATTGGGGTGCTAGTAGCAAGAGAATGGGAGAATTGATGCTGGAAGCTTCCAACAGAGACCACTTTCTCTGGCCAAGTTTGGCAGTCCTATGGTTGAAAACTTCACCCACGAAGCAGAAATAAAGCGAGTGGGAAATCTGAAGTCCTTTTATAATATTAGAGATCTGGGATTCTATGAAGAGCAGAGACAATGTGAAAAAGCAATGGGTTAGTGACCTGAGGGAGAAGGGTACTTCATCCCACAAGGCCCTGTCCCCCACCTCCACATCTTTATCAGTAATGTGGATGGTGACCCAGAAGGCAAATTTAGGCTTCTAGCAAGTGTCATAAAGCAAGTCATAAAAGATACTTGCTGACAGAATTAAGAGTCAAAGATATTTTGAGAAAAAAGGGGAATTATGGATAAAATGAGTCCCAACCAAAGAGGCTGGTGATACCTGTGGAGTGACAGTTCAGTAGAGTGGACTTCTTGCTAGAGTTTCTGTCCAATTGGACATTTTTCCTTTCCACTGAGTCCAATTCATATAAGCTTAAGCCAAAGACGATGAATTGGCTCACATAACACACAGTGCAGCTGGGTTAGCTTTAGGCATGGCTAGATCTAGGTGCTCAAACAATGTTGTCAGGTCTCTGATTCTCTCTCGCATGTCTATATTGCTTGTCTCTGCTTCGTTTTGTTCTTCCTGAAGTCTCTTTCCTAGAATAAGATGACTGTCAGCAGCCCAAGGCTTACATCCACCCTTCCTAGCAACCTTAGTAGAAAGAAACTTCTGTCCCCCAGTATCCATATGAAAACCCCAGGGAAGACTCTGATCCTGCAAGGATCATGTGCCCACCTTCTGGACCAATCACTGTATCTAGGGGGTACCTGGGGGATATATTGTATGGTGCCATGTTGGCTTGACCCAGGACATTGCTCCCTTTTCTGTGTTTGGTGAGGAGGGCACTGTGATTGATCAGCCAGCAGGAACGAAGCATAGAAGGGTTGGTTCTTTCAGGGAAGGATGCTAGCTGACAAAAACTTCCGGTCCCCTATGGTGTCCAGTGTTGACTCTGCCACACTAAACCGGGACCATTTGTCTGGTCTCTGCTCTATCTCAGAGCCCGGTAGAGAAGTGGCCACACTGTGGACTCTTAAAAAATGTTTGTCAAGTGATGTGTGAATGCCTTTCTCCATGGACGTTGGTTGTCATCTTCTGTTGAATGGAGATAATGATTTGTTTACTTCACAAAGTTGAGGCATGGCTCAGTATGGTCATGAAGTAGGCAGGCTTGGTAAAGCAAAATCAATCCTCCAAATGTCAGGGATGAGTGGAACCCAGCCAGTGCAATAGTGTAATGCTGACCAGGAGGGTTGGGTCACCCTAGGGAAAGCCAGGAGTTATTCTGTTGCTTTGTGTCCCCTTGCCCCCCTCTCAGGAGGCCCAATTTCCCACCATACCTGTTTCCTCAATCATACTTGGTTTTTGTCCACTCAGAAAACATAGATTCTGCAACAGGATATTTCTTCCCTGTGGCCTAGCTTGGTTGGGAATGGAGGGAGTGGTGCTGAGGAACAAAGCAGGCCCACTCTTTCTTCCTCCCTGGAGATTTCCTCCCTAGCATTGATTTAGCAAACTCCATCCATTGCCTGCTAATTGGTGGGTGGGAGTAGAGTGTGGGTGTAGACACTCCCCAAGTTGAGTCATCACGTTCTTGGGAGGGGTGGCCTACTATGTGGGGACGTCAGCTCTCCCTCAGTTTATCTGTAACTTACCGTAATCCCAACAACAATTTCTGCTTTATAAACTCACTCTGAAACGAGGAGGAGTGAAGGTCCACAGCTGCTTAAGTAAAAGGGGGCTAGGCAGGGAGTATGCATATATTCAGACATTCAAGCATTGTTGTTGTTTTCAGCAGTGTGGCGTGGTGAGAGAATAGCCCACTCACCGACAGTGTGGAGAGATGCAGTGTGCAGATCACTGGTTGTATAGAGCTTCATATATAATGAAAGGTGCATCGCAAGTCAGTGGAAAAGAGTTGTTGCGAACACTCTGACTTATTATATGGAGAAAAATGAAGCAATCCCCTACAAGGTGGATGCTCAAATGATGGATTAAAGAATTAATGTGAATGGTCAAATTACATCAATAGGAAAAACACACACACAGAGGAACATCTTTGAGACCCACAGGGAGTAAAAGATTCTTAGACAAAGAAGCACAAACCGTAAGGGAGAAAAAGGGGGAGGGAGTTTCATTATGTTAAAATTAAATATATCTGTTGCAAATGACACATGACAAAATGAAAGAAGATATGTGCAAAGTCTAAAATTGGCAAGAGATTAGTAGCCTCAGTATACAAGGAACTCCTGAGAACAAGAAAAAGAAATGAGCAAAGGATATGAGCAAGCAATTTTAGGAAGAGGAAATTCCAAAAGCCAAGACGCATATGAGGAGGTGGCCAAAATCACTAGTAGAGAAATGCAAATTATAACAATAATAAATA